GTAAGGACTTGTGTCGCTAAAGTTTCATCGGAACGAAGTTACAGAAAGTTAATTAACAAACGGAAACGTAACAATATAAATAAAATAGTAAAATTTTATGTATTTCACCTCACCTATCCATAAGTAATATGGGCAATAACAATTTGGCCTAGGTGCACTGCTTGATTTTTAAAATTGTGAAACAAATTGGTCCAAGTTTTATTTAAATGAATTATAATGCCATTCATTCCATAAAATATATATATATTTTTTTTAAGAGTTTTGGTCCTCTTCAACACAGACATTCGCTAAAGTAATTTTGTGATCTTTTTTTTGCAAACCTTAGCCTTCTTCCAGGAGTATTGTGCATTTTAGTTGCTTGAAAAAGGGCTCTTCATAAAAAAAGGCCACAACTTGTAATAATGTCAAAATTTAAATACTGTAAATATTGATGCATATAATTTATTCGAATATAAATACCTACATTATGAGTCTTAAACAACAAAAAGTGGTGTAGTTTGTAGTGATATAATATTTAAGCAATATCAGAAATAAAAGACAAACAGAGTACTAAATTATAGTTTTTGCAGAATGAAAGTAAACTAAGTTAATTTTGTAAGAACAGCTTAGGCTTTGGAGCTCTTTTTAGACAATAATTCTTAGCATATACTAAATGATAGTCATGTTACTCTACTATAAAAGCTTACCTGTTAATCTATATGTGACTCTCCTTCCCCTGCTCCCTACTCATTTAACACCTGTTATCAAATCCCTTCATAGTGAAATGTTATTACAACCTGAACATAAAGAAAGGTAATTCTACTGACTATGTCCATGACCACTTCCTTCTGGTATTCATTCCACTACTGAACATAGCCAATTAGTAATTAGCAAGTTAGCAGAAGAAAACATCCTTACAAGCAGCCATGAAAGTGACCTGCATTTTCTGTCCTTATAAAATAACTTATAATAGGAATGAAATACAATACTGTTCAGTTAAAAAGAATCAAAAGGAATTTACTGAATGTTATCTCCTTTCTGACACCTTTGAGTAACCTCTCATCTTTAGTATTTGACTCAATATTACTGACCACTAATTTTGAAAAAGAAAAAGGTTCTAAACTAACCTTGTGTGCAGAACCATTTCTTTCATTCAGACCAAGAGCTCTCTCTACATAGCCATAAGCTTCTTCCAACCAAACAATGGCATCTTTTTCAGAATCACTTGCTCGTCCTACTTCAAAGGTAGCCCTTGCTAGTCGCCAGAGAATCTCATCACTGCTTGAGCTACTGTAAGGATACAGGACTTTATAAATTTCTCTGTACTGGTGGGACAGGTAGAGTCTGTCAGCTTCTTTAATGATTTTATCTTCATCAACCAATAATGGTTGCTCTGCTAGAAAAAAGAAAAAATACCATTTTCAGCTCAATTAATTTTCAAGATAGTAACCAATAAAAGTTTTTTTTTAATTTATAGCTGAGAGATTAACTCATTTAATTGATACAATTTATTACCAACAAGCATCAAATGTCACTGGAAATAATCAACTGAAATTAGAATTTGTGATTATTAGTTTCCTATTATTCCAACTATTCAATTTATCAAAATATTGCCATTAAGATTTCTCATTATTATTCATTTCAATTAATTCAAGTCTGTTCAGCTTAACCTAGTAGTGTCACTACACTACAAAATTAATGTTTCAAATCATTCCAACTATCCAAGTAACCAAAATATTAGCTATTAGTATTACTAATTCTGGTGGTGTGACTGCATACTACAGTTTCCATGCCTTCTGCTTGTACACAACTGACTAAGGTGTGTGTGTATGTGAGGTATTGTGGCCATTGGTTACATTAGTAACCAAAAAGATTCCTCTTGATTGTTTTTACCTTTTTTGTCTAAATGACAGTGTAGCTTTAACTTAATATATTGCTTACACACTATGAATATAACCAGTGTTACTAAGAGTAAGACTGCTATAATAAGCAAGATAAGCTTTCCAGCAAGATAAAATTAATTATTCTTTATTCCCAGAAAAAAATTTGATTACTAAATAACTTGCTCATTTAACTTTCTTTTAGGAATAACAGTAACTTACATGCTGAGCTCACTTGTTTAATCTTGGGCCTCAGTTTGTGTATGACTAAGTCCTCTTTCATGCAGAGGTTCTGTTCACAAAAGAGAGCTTCCTCATTCACAAAATGAGACCCAAGATTAACCAACTGAGCTCAGTATACGAGTTAGTTTTAGCATTTTAACTTCTATTCATCACTTCAATAAAATTTAGCTTAGTTTTATTAGAAATTACTAAACATGGATTAATAACAGTCTACCAATATATTGTTACGACAGCGGAAGTCACGTGACGCTAGTAAC